AAGGTTCCCGACCTTTCAAAGCATTTAGGGTGCAGTGGAATTGTGCACATCATAGTAGGGTCTTAAATATGTTTCAAACAACCTTGAAAAATGCCAGAAGCAGACGCATCATACTGTCTACGCATAAACTGTATAACCGCATACACCGTCGCTGAGTTGATTTCAAGAGTATATGACTTGGTACATATAATATAATATAGACAGAATTTACTGCATATCCCACTATGACGCTTGTTGCCACTGAGCTATTGGTTTCAAGTGGCCTCGGTTTGGGGGGAAGATTTAACTGATGTAATATCGCGATTTCATAGAAATAACTCAGGCTCATAGCTGAAAGAAAGTTATAATCCTGGAATGAGGAAAAGTTGTTCATAAGGTAAGGAGGACATTATTTTCCAGTTTATTTGTATATATACTATTGTATATCCAGTTGCAATGAGTTCTTAGTGCGACTGTATGTAACTGCATTTAAATAAAGTAAAACATTACGAATGCTCCTGTTTTTAGAATAAAAAACATGATTGTTTTCACGAAGTCTAGTAATGCAGAATGGAATTTCTCCCACGTAAATTTTGTTTAATTGGAGTCTTAATCTTACTGAATTCCTGTATAAATTTGATATCTGTAAAGTGTTTATGCAAAGTCTGCTGTAGTATTCAGTGAAGTAAAAGTTGTAGTGCATAATTCCTAGACTTGTTGTAGTCATTGGTATTGCCATGAAACCATTTACTCGTTTTATGCAGTCAAAATATCCAGTTCTCACTTTAATTGAGAAAACACTACATTGCCTGCAAAAGTAGTGCGCCAGTTTATGAGTTTCATGAAGTCTACAGAATGTTTTCACTGAATACTGTTTGCGAATTATCCGAGAAAACACATTTTCAAGTGGGCTGATTTCTTAGACTGTCATCCTTATATCAGTTCAATTCAATCACGCATGTATTAGTAAAATGGTCTGTAGTTGACTTTAGAGACTTATCAGGGAATAGTCTCATCAACTTACAGTTTGCTGATGACATTGTCCACCTAGACTATGAGAAAAAACCCTGATGCCGCAAAATGTGAAAATAATACCGGTGTTTGATCATAGGTGTCTGTGTTCTATTTCATGAGTAAAGCAGTATAATATGGCGAGTGCTGTTGAGGTTACGCATAAGTGTTTAGGTGGGGAGGGTAAGTTGGTCTTCAAGATAGGGGAGCTGAATAGGTTGAGACGGCTAGAATACGCGCTGGCATACCAAGCCATCGCCTTCCTCCAGGGACAGTGCTAGCCAGCACATGTTAAGGCTTAAAATGTGTTTGGGTCAGTCAAATGAAAAACTGGTATTGGTTCATAAAATCGTTGGCAGTCAGCTGGAAGAACTACTAGAGATATGACTGCAAATCTTTGTTACTGGCACAGATGCATCCACTCTGTGTAATCTCACGTATCTATTCAACTCATGTTTTTCCTTGTCACTATTTATTCTCCCTCACACTTTCGCTCGTTAAACTTCCATTTAGTTTTATGTCTCTACCTTTGTGTGCTACATGGAATGTGGTAAGTTAAACAGGTGGACTTCTCTGCAAACTCATACTGAAAGCTAGTCAGAATGACACAGTCTAAGCATAACTAAATGCGAAACACGGAATAATGATCTACAGAATGTCAACAAATGTTAAGTGTAGTTCTTAATCTTGTTCTTTGCTAAATGAAAAATAGATACCTTTCAGTAATCTCTTCTTCCACCCGGGACTCGTCTCCTACTTTGCAAGTGTTTTTGTGCTTCGTCACTTTTGTTCTAATCTTTCAATCATTCAGCATATGCCGTTGTTGTTGACTGAAGACCTAGATGACTTTGGTTGAATAAGGCTTCGATCGTCCAAACCCGAGCCCCGGTCATTTGATTGGTTGCATTACCATTTCTCAAATGGAATGCAGCAAACTGTATATTAGGGTAAATCTTCAGCCTCGCTTGCTGAAACTGGTGTTCCTCAGGGTATTGTCATCTCTCCTTTTCTTTCTTCTCTCTCGTCTTACATGACTTTTCTCTTTCTAATGAGAGCAACTTCGTAAAATATGCTGGTGACCTGACCATCTCACTTCCTGTCATATTACAATGTGACTGCAGCAAACAACTGGTTCTTGTCTGCAGTCTAAGGTACATTGCCTTACGTTAAATCCCTCTAAATGTCAAGCAGGTAACTTTCCCTTCACTCATAAGCGTGAACTACAAGAATTGTGTCGTTCACAAGATGCTTGTATCAAAGAGGGCACTGAAATGGAGACTAAATCTAACATAAAATATCTTGGAGTAGTTCTATCCTCTGGTCTTTCTTGGTCATTCTATATCTTGTCTATTTCTAAGAAAACCTTCAGTCTAGCTTACCATGTTATGTATTCAAGACAGTCAGAAATCGTTCAACCTCTCTTTTTACAATTTGTTAACTCTTGCATTGGTCTTTAATGCTCCCCCTTATTCTTTCCTGAATTACTCAAAAACGACTATGTCGTATTGAGCAGGGTATTAAGGTTGTCAGTAGGGCAAGTGGTGTACCATTTAGTCAACTCGTTAATGCATTAGTTGAAAGATATCTAAACTCATGCAAGAAATGGTCTTAACCTATACTGTCTAATTCTCAACATCCCCTCTATTCTCAGCTCTTCCCTTTAATTTCATCTGATGGAACGGAAGTCAGTATAAAAGATTATATGATCGCTTTCGGAATTACGTAACTCCAAAAATTGTTGTCGTTTTCATTGGCAGCAGTTCACAGCCTATTGAGTTTACACAAGTACAATGCCCATTTCTCCCTTTACTGAGGAGAAATCAACTAGGATTCTAGAAAAGTAGTACCTCAGTATGTGAATTTTATGAATCTGTAGACTGCATTCCATTCACTTAATACTGAAACTAAACTATGAGGGAACTGATGTTTCCAAGAAGTATGTAATGCGAGGCCCATTTCTACAACTGTCGTCCTTCCTTTAGTTCACTTTCATCACACATGTATTAACCGACTTGTCTGTCACTCACTTTAGGGACTTACCAGGGAACAGTCTTATCAACTTAGTGTATGCCGATGGTATCGTCCACTTAGGCTGCGATAAGTGACCATTGAAATTGGAAGATATGAAAAGACCACTGGTTGTTGATCTCAGTATCTGTACCCTTTCTTCTGTATTAAGTAGTCTAATATGGTGAGTAATATTGGGGTTAAGCTTAGTGTTAAGTAGAAATGTGATTCCAAACGTTGTTAATGACACAGATGCATTCACTCTGTGTAATCTCACATATCTGAGCAACCCTTACATTTTTCCCATATGACTGTTCGTTTTTCATCACATTTATGCTCATTAGAGTTCCATTTAATTTCTTTTTTCCTCTACCTTTGTGTGCTACACTGAATGTGGTAACTTAAACGGGTGCACTTGTGTGCAAGCTTCTACGTTGAAAGTCAGTCTTTCAGAATGATCTATAGTCCAGGTATAATGAAATGCTAAAACGTGGATAAAAATAGGCAAAAAGTTCAACAAATGACAATCGTATTTTTTCATTTGGTTCTTGTCTAACTGAAAAAAGAGTTATCTTACAATAATTTCTCCTCTTACCCGAGATAACTCTGTCTCGTTATATCTCGTGAGCTAGTTAACCTTATCGCGTAGCCCAAATGCGAAATTGAAACACATCTGATGGAATATTTTTGGCCTATTACCAACTAAATATAATAATATTTTTCAAGTGTGGAATGTCACAAATCGAACTGTTGCACTTCTGTGCTGAGTTCCATGTTAAAACTCAGTCTGTCAAATTTGTCACTGCAGATGCATAGTGTCACAACTCACTAGTGTTAATTAGCCTAAACAATTATTCATGCTGTTTCCTAAGTACTCCATGCATTTCCCTATTCCTTAAAGTGAACCGAAGAGGAAAACGTAAACCAAAGGTCAGTAACATGGACGTAAGAAATAGTCTGAATAAAAGTAAATGAGATGAGTGACCTTTACCCCTGTAGTACGCTTAACTAAAATACTTATATGTATGAATGAGGCAAAAAGTTGTGACTGACTTGATATGATTATGAGTAATAGTTTGTGCTGGAAACATCATCAGATAATATTGCTATACAACACTGTGTGAGTTAGACATGTGCAGCTGTTATTGTTCGTATGTCAAATGAGACTGTGGATGTACTTCACTGCACTGACTGGAAGCACTCGTTACTTGGGTCTACTGAACAAGTTGTTAAGATCTCCTTGCAACGTAAGCATGTCACTGGCAACCTGGTGCTGTCTTCAAATTTATCTGGATCAAGTCACTGGTTAGACTAGTAAGACTATATTTTTAGGGATATTACCTTGATTCGCTTATTTTGATGACGATTACGTAGGTACCTTCCAAAACACTCAGTAACATTCTACGAGAGTGAAACGGATTTAAGCCATTTATGTGATCTGGCAGATCTTTGAGCAGCCCTCAGTCTAGATCGCTGGGCATCAACGATGTTCTTATATGTAGCTTCATTAAGGATCGAAAAAAGCGTTTTGGCTGGTGGATAAAGGTGAATCTGCAGTATCAGTGGCTCGTGCAGAGCATTCCGTCATATGTCCTCGGAACCTTGCTACCCAACTTCTTCCATAGCTTATAAGGCATATTGTCAACCAGATTCCTTGTTATATCAGTACTATCAATAGCACCGTTGATGTTCGAGAAAAGGTTGCGTTCCTACAGGATTAGGGACCCCTGCTTTCCAGAAACTTCTGTGTCCCGCCAAACACTGCTGTGACATTTTATACACTGTCATGGCCTCCCCAATGTTTGAAGGACTTGAGGTACCCAGGTAAACTGCAGCTGTCACTCTGGAGCATTTGACGTGTAACTAATAGTTGCAGTGGTTGATCCTTGCTGACATATTCTTAGTAGATTAATGTCGTAGGACAAAAAATATGATGGTTATGAGCTGAAGAAACAATAAGTGGATTTCCAAAATTCAAAACACAAGGTTTAAACAAAATTACAGGATACATATTTAGCCACGAGATGAATAATGGATGTTCAACTTGTCAGAAATAAACAACTGTCTCTCAAAGCCGGGAAGCAAATTGAGATAGCATTTGATGTTAGCAGTACCATGATTTAAATTTATTGATTTTTGAACCATTACAGGAGCATAGTCGAAAAGGACGTTACATCTCACTTGTGGTTATGGTTTGAAGGGAGAAAGAGGCTACAGTCAGTTTCTAGGTCATGATGGGTTCCTGCGTCGGCTGATTATATGTTTTCGTGAATTCGTTTTCCATTGAATTTTAAAGGTTTTTTTGGATGTTTTGCTCATTTTGCAGTGTGTAGGTCTCTACTCTTAAGCTTATTTTTAGCTTGAAGTTCCCAGTTATTATGTTGGTAGTCAAGGATTATGGTAAACCTGCAATCATTGAGCTAATTAACGTATACTATGCTAATATAGTAACATTTTTAATTAGTAAACTCCCTAACTGTTTTGCCATTGTTTGACAGTGAAACTGTACGCTAAATCGAACCTACTGGGTTTGCTTATCAACGTTGTTCCCGCCCTCACAGGACATATTTGGCACCAATTAGCATTATTTCAAAACGAAAAGACTTAATTCAACACATAGGGACTATTTTTCAGCACTGAAGGCATTATTTCAGCTGCAAATCTTATTTTCAGTTTGTGTCATTAATTAAGCATCCAGTACCCTTTTCAAAAACAATCAGAGTTATTTCAGTACATAAATGAAATATTCATTTACCACAAGGCATTATCGACTACAGGTTAGAATTAGTTTAAAATTATTGTAAGATCGGTTTGATAATCATTCTTCATAATTGGTCTGCTGGCTGTTTTGGAGTTATAATCACCCTGATTAACATGAATATTATAATATTCATAATATGAAACCACAGTCTCATAAGACTACGAATGAGTACACCTAAACTAGATTTCCCTGAAGCATACCAAGCCAATTCTACAATAACGTGGAGGCTCAGTTTAACTAATCTCATACTAGCCGGGGGGGAGGCTCAAAGGTCGAAACCATGGCTGTATTAGTGGAAAAAAGGCATAGCAATTATGGCTAATAAAGGCATAAAAGATCCTAAGGTTACCATAATACGGAAATAATGCTGGCGAATTCCAGACTGTTTTTTATATGGTAAGTAAATGGTGAAAGGATGCTGAATTTGATTGCCTGCTAGAAATTTTAGTGCCTCTTTTATCTCCACTTCGACATCTAATTCGTCAATACCAACCATTATTTCCATAGTCCACTTCAGCATCCTTCTAGCACTTACGTCACAAAATCACTAAATCGGCATTTGCTAGCAATATTTCGTTATTATACTAGGCTTGGGACCAGACGCAATATATACAGGTGGTAGTGACGGTGGACCCAGATTACCTTGCGGGTTGCATGACACGGCAAATTTCAACGATAGCGTCCCAAGGGATGCGAACGCACGAGCGACCTTCAGCCTGCCAATCATAAAAATGAGGAATTTTTGCACAAAAAATGACGTATATTCACAAGAAAATGCATGAAAACACATTAAACAGATTATCTTTCTCTGACATGACTTAAAAATACGTCCCACTTATGATGAAAAGCATCAGTTGCTAAGTTGGACCAGTTTCTATAGATGTATTGACCAAAGTGACCGAAGATTGGCTGTTTTGTGGATCATTCATCCCTCTTCTCTTGCTATGTAGTCCTCTCCAAATCCCTTGGTTAAGTTATTATGGTTTCAGTAAGAGCATTGATGACTACATACAAGAAAAATAAGGATAAAACAAATTAAAATAAACGACATTAACTATAAATCTATCCCTAATCGCAACCCTAACCTTAATCCCAACCCTAACGACAATCCTTATCCAGCCGTAAACCTAACGCTAACCCCAATACTCGCCTTAACCCTAATCCTAACCCTAACGAGATGTTAACACATTGTCCAAACAGTAATTAAAAGCGTTATCTGGGTGAAATTTGCTCCTTATTTGATGAATAGGGTTGATATTTCAGCTATGATAATGACAGGTACCGTTAGCCAACGACTAGCATGCGTTCAAGGTCATTTGAGCGTTCGCACTCCTGGGACGTTATTCTTGAACTTCGTCCATTACACATTAAATCTACTGCAATTTCATCGTTGCCCTCAGTCTTATATCCGAAAACCAATTTTGTATACAAAATACTTTTAGCGCTGAGAATGCACTCTGAAGTGCAGCGCCCATATTGATGCTTATAAAATCAGTACATATGACTGCTATCTACTCAAACATTAGACTAATAATTACTAAGTCAAAACTTTATTGACCAAAGTGGTTCATGAATCCGCTTCAGGGAACGGTGGGCAGGCTAGTGACTGATACATAGTTAAAAGTCGTTCTAAAATCTGAATAACTGTTTTCATTGTGCTATACGGTCGGCTTATATGCCAAGGATATGGCTGGAATGGATATGCAGGAGAGTAAACACATCATCAAAATGAAATGTCACACGACTACTTGACCTAACAAATTGCCACACCCCGCTAACTTGTGTTCTAAGTAGAGTAAAAAAAAATAAAACAACACGCCATACGTCACAAAGAAGCAAACTAGAGTTGTTTAGAACACTTGAAAAATGCATAAAATACAAATGCATCTGCACCATTGTAGTAAATTCCGAAATTACCTATTCCAACTTGCTCTTACTTCACTTGACATTGCACTTTAAGGTTTTTAAACCTAAGGACTAAACGAAAATCAATAGGTTCTGAGTCATTTTACAAATAAGTATGCAGACTTCGCGTTGTGCTAACATTCCAATCTGCTGAAATACTTTATCTTCAGAACTTTATCCAGAAAAGCAGTGCATCGATTAGTTATTATTCATTGTTTAATAATATTTTCTACATATTGGTTAAGACGAATAATCACTGTGTCAAAAATAGTTATCAAAACATTTGCCCAGTAAAAGTGCATGAAAACTGCTTATACCGTGAATACCACATCATTTTGGTGAAAAATTTAATTAACTGGTTGACGAGACATAAGCATGAAATGAAGCACAAATTCCAACGTCGTATGTATGGTGACAGCACATCTCTTAGTCTGTGTATTTAGTACATTCCACAAAAAGTGAACCAACAGTCTTTATGTGGTGGTGAACATTAAGAAGCTAAACATATACTACATATCATGAAGGCGTCATCCATATTTTAACCACTGTCACTGGTAGCAGAGATGAAAGTCACTGATTTCGATATTGCCTTAAAGCGGGGTACTGGGATCAAGTCTTATTCCACCTACTAAATTTGGACAGTTCGGCAATATCTTTGACGTATTAATTTAGTTTATTCTACTAAAACACAAAAGTGGTACGCTAATGGAACCAAAAGATGCACCACACAAAATCTTATAGTTTATGCGAGGGCTGTAGTACTGCCTGGATGCCCAGACCGAAGCAGGTGCTTGTCTTAAGTGGCCACATCCCGAGTCTTCGACTTGACGCCTTATCCATAAGGTAGTAGCGTCAGGAGGTGCGTTTCCAGTGACCAAAACATGTCCATACGCCAAGTGGTCCCCTTGGATTTTCGACCCTGTGTACACCATGAATTTAGAATCAGCGTTTTCCAGCTTCCTTCGATAGATCAGCATGCCTACCAGTCCGGTTTTAAGCGCCATTCGTCCTTTCACTTTTTGTGAGAAACCACCACCTCATGAAGGCAAGGGATGACACCTGTTTGACAGGCTGTGAACGCGTAGCCACATGACATTTCGGGAGGAGGACCGCAGTCTAATCATCCTTGGCCGTACCAGATTGTTTATGGGGGCCATTAGCACATTAGTAGTTCTAACCTATAGGGTATTGCACTGTATGTGTGATTAGTCGTTTACTTCAATTTCAATATTTATATAGAATAATGTTACTTTTCTTTGTATTGTACTGCACATTTCTTTAGTTTTATTGAAGAATATTTGAAATACTCGTGTTCCTATTTCAAACTAAGAAAAATGGTTAAGGAAAACAAAGCACAAAATTTCGAACTCCTGCAAGAAAAGGTAACACATAGCCTGACTATTTTTATTATAAAAAAACAGCTTGATAGGGAGACAGATGCACTCGAACAAAGAATGTTAGACGTAAAACCATGGTATCTTCAAGGTGAAGTCGCTGCATCTGGACGAAGTGAAAATGCTTTGCTTGAAGAACACTTTGATGTACAGCGTCATGGACTTTTCAGTAAGTTGTAATGATACAATCAAACTTTTGTTAAGAACCAGGTGCTCAAGATGAAGATGCTATAAATGATTTTATCATTAAAGCGATAAAAGAAAGAGTAAGTAGGATATTGATTATTCATTGATGCACAGAATTTCGACAATCCTGTTTTCAAAGTTAAAGAAGTTGAAAAATTATCCAAAGAACTCCCACTACAAAATGTTGTTCAAAAATCATTGGTGGAAGATTATGAAACGTTTTTAAAAAGAAATAAGGTAATATAAAACTGTTTCCTACATTTTCGCTTAAGATTCTGGAAGAGGACCAAGGAGATCCGAAGAAAAATGCAATTCAGGCTGAAATCCTAGAACTCTTTGATAGCCTAGACAAACTTTCCAGTCTTCATTTTGTCCCACGCAAGGTAACAAAACTATTATTTATATATGCTGAAGTCAGCATGTTTTTGCTGATCTACTATTAATTTGATTGTGGTACTTCGTAACAAAAAGTAGAAGTCGGCACAGGCCCAACAATTATAAGACCCGCCTTTCACTAAAAAAGTGATGAGGAAAACAACATGGAATCGCAGTTCCAGATTTCGAAGGTAAAACGCACCATGCAGACCGCAATAACCGCATAAGTATAAAGAACAGCGGGAAAACCCAGCACAACTAGAACTAGAGTTTTAATAAATATACTACATATCCCATACGGACACCATTTATAAGATATTGGCGGGTTGAAAGGAATTATTTTTCAGTTTAAACTCTTTCTGCCTTAACTTCCATTTGGCTGCAACTACCTAATCACTTTTAAAATTTAGATTTGTTACTGAATCTCAACTGATTCAAATAGCGGAAGCGAGTGCCGTCACGATCCACATAAATTTTAAAAAATATTCATTATAAATTAAGGTGGCAGCTTCAGGATAACCAAAGAGTTTCAGCCAGCATAGTGTAACTGTATTCCCAACTCATAAAGAGCCATAAATACCCGCTGCATCAGAGACCAGTAAACAAAAACACTTAGTGGGGGCGCTCAAAATATATCGTTGTCAGATTGATTTATCTGGGTTCGCACATTAGCATGGCAGACTATGCAATTCTGGATTGGAAAAATATACAAACAAACGTCCATCTAGCTAAATAGACTGTATCTACTAAGCGTAGATCTACCAACTGTTTATAGTTAAATCCTTCATGTTAAAGTAGATAACATCCAAGGCACTTGTATTGTGCATTTGGAAAAAGTTATCCTTCGTCACATGTTTTAAGGTGAAACTGACCTCCACCGTATATAAAAGCATTGGTTAAAATGGTTTTCAATTACCAACCTTAAAGTCGACAGAAGCAGACCCTACAACCAGTTGCCGACAATGCGAATTGAAGTTACTAGTTTGATTTGTTGAAGTTGAACAGTAACAGACTGACAGTCGATTCAATATTTGACACCTGCTATAATTTTTGACTGCTTGGTCAGGTGTAATGCATTCTTCTAATATCTAGAAGCATTGTCATTGGATATCACTTTGAAAGGACCAACAGACAATCTGGAACAAAACATCAGTGTAAGTGTAATAATGGGATAGAACTGTCGATTGTATGGTTCTTCTTTGTACATGATTGCGAACCATTCCACTAATGGAAGTCATTAACAATCCTCATAATATTAGTGCTTACATTGCTGAAGTAAAATCAAACCGTTGAGCCAGAATCCCAATCCTAAGTGGTCAAATAAAGTGAGATATATGTTGTCAAGTAAAATTTCCATGGTGCGCTAACTACCAAACTCGACCTATACTTATTCTGCTTTTCTTTGTATTGTTAGCCTGCAAATACAAGATCCTCTTTTGAATTGTACTTTATTCCGGATAGCAGCTTTGTGTGACATGACATCCTTTAATGGTCTCAATGCAGCTTATGTTGATGAATAATTTACTGAGTTGAAAGTAACTTTTCAATGGATGCATCTGTAGTTTTACTAGTCTGTGAGAAAAAAGAAATGAATATACTTAGCACCCACTCTCAAAAAAGTGAAATATTAGTCCTGAGGAAATTGGATTAGTTAGAAAAGTACCTTGCACGCTAAATAAGCAATGTACAGTTCCAATAGAATGCGATTGCAACCCATCGACTGAATACCTAAAAAGATTCACATTATTCTCAATGTCTCACCATTAAAACAAATACAACTTTAAGAAATCTACATAGTCTTGAGATGCGTATTATGCGCTGTTGAGTCAGTCAGTTATTTGATTTTTAATTTACAGCTTAATTCCACACTGTATTTTTGGTACAAGTATGGAATTTTCAGCATGGATATCGGTAGCCCAAATTTTGCAGGCCGACCATTGATTATGATTGCAATTATTTGAAAAATGAAGGACTGAATCTTACTAACGCATGGAATAGGCAACTAACGGTGACAGTGTTATCGCTCCTACAAAACAAAAACTGGCTGGGGCACTCGTGATTTGATTTACCAGTCAAAAATGTAAACAGTAGCCTTCGAAATTCCCATGTGCTTATTTATTATCATGATCAGCGGTTTTTATAATAGGCCTAATTCAGATTGCTAACGAGTATGCGTTTATAAACTACTCATTCAACATATTTCACATGTCCTTATGAAGTTGTGTAATAAAAAATATGTCTATTTTCGTACGATTCGTCTTTCTTACTCAGTTTATGCCGCGTCTGAAGTGTAATCGGACAGAATATCTAATTTTTGAAAATTTATATCTACTTTTGTTTTCAGTACATACCCGAAGACGTTATTGCCAAAAACGATGCAGCTTCAAAATTAGAAGAGCTTGGACCTATGGTTACTTCAACAGCTGATAGGTTGGCTCCAGAAGAAATATGTCCTCCGAGAGGCGAAATAATTATTGGCAAAAACGAACGTACCCTTGCTGACCGCCGGCGGCACCGACGAAAGCTGATGAGAATAAGATCAAAGAAGCTAAATCACGCCAAGAAGGGCAAACTAGACGAAAGACAACTGGCCATGGTTAAGATAACTAAATTAGCACACCGACCAAACTCTAATATCAAAATTGTAAAGTAAAACTGAGTTATTTCCTTTCCCATTTTACAAATATATTTTTTCATTGACCGCAAATATACTGATATATTGTACCTAGTTTTACCAATTGCTAAGCGAAATCATAGATGATATGGTATTGACACTCAACAAATAATATGTAATGTTAACGCAATGACTAGAAAAATATAGCTATTAAACGCATGTGCAACTATACTACTAAGAAGTACTTCCCGTGCGGAAATTACCTAGTTCTAGCGTCACACTTTCCGATTTGTTAACACATTCAGTGAATCACACAGATCTATTTAATAATAGTACGAAATTTATACAAGAGTTTCAACTTTTCAGCTGAGAAACAAGTGATACAGTATAATCATTATTGACAATTATAATTTGATACTCATATAAAGAAATCAAAACCATTCATCATAATTAAGACAAGGTGTTGAAGATGACATTGCTTTAAGAAAAAGTATACATCTGCGAGCAGCATCTGACCGGGCACTTGCTAAGTCTGGCATTAACTGACTTTTAATTACGTGAGGTGGTAGCGTGGAAAGCTCAGCGAAACAGTAATTCATACCTGTGAAAAGAAAACACCCAGATTTAAGTGATACATTAGTCTTTAGTGTTTGAAAGTATCATGTCCACTACTTAATGTGCCATAAGCGTTGTTGCCATACGAACTTACTCAATGAAACGAGTTTTAAGCATCCACTCAATAGTTGACAGGTGAAATGTATAGCTACTGATAAAATTCATCCGTAAGTTCTTCCGAACTGCAGTTAGATGATGCGTATGAAAAGGCATTGACACATATCACAGCCTTTATCCCTATTGATTCATTCAAGTGAACACTATACGGACCAATGTCAGGTAGTGATTTGTGCTTTGGAGCTCAACATTATGCACACACGAGTAAGTTTCTGAGAACTAATCGAAGAGTCTCCTGACACCTATTGGGTAAATTCACTGTGTTGATCAGATGGGATCCAGTAAATATCTCTATGTTCGGGGTCTAGAATGTGTGCCTCACTGACACAAAACATTTAAAGACTTAGTTGCCAGAGATTCGACTGATGAGATTTTTGTTACAGACGAAAACTTAGTGTAATATGGACAGCAAGAGATGCGCTATACAAAAACAATAAAACGACAGTATAGTGAGAAGGGAAATATAACAGTTGAGAAGCACCATTCTGAAACTCGGTGAACATACTTATCAACATCATACTGCTTTCAGAAAAGAATAAACTGCAGCACTTTACAATTCATTTCGATTCTCAATCATATTCGATAGTTTCCAATAATTGACTTGAATCATCTGTAGGATCCCACTCAGGTCTTTATGATGCACTAACATACTGACCAAACACAACCATACTTATTCCTATGATGCTACATCATTGGAAATGATCAAACACACATCCACAGCCAGGAAGGGCCAGTTTTCACAGGCATACAGGTAGACTGTACTCACTGAACCATCGTAAATCAGAACCTTGGAGACTATCTGTCTGTTTTCGACAAAGAACTTTGCACATATGTGCGGCAATTAAAGTCGCCACACTCCATGTAGCACGCAAAGCAAGAGAAGAAACTAGAAGAAATGTCTAATAGAGACAGTAAACAGAGGTGTGAGACAAAGGAGTAGTAATAACGAAGAACAATATAGTTTCATTGGAAATCATAAGTGACAAGGAGTGGATGCGTCTGCGCTAGCCACTGTGAATGAGGATTTTGAGCGATATCAGCGATTGTCTCCAGCCATTGGTTTTTACCGTCCCGAGGACCCCAGGAAGTCTACACCTTCCTACGTGGCCTAAACTAACTGTTGTAGATTTCATTGATTGACCAGGCCATGTTTTTGTTTGACCGCCACTAGTTCTTTTCCAGTCTGACCCTATGTCAGGTAACATTGCCTGTCGAGGGAGGCGATGACTAGGCATACGTAACACATGTCCAAACCATCTCAGTCGATGTAATTTCACAACCTCGTCGATTGATTTCCCCTGCTTACTTAGAACTGAACGCCTAACCTCAATATTGCTCACCTTATTATACCACTTCACACGGGAGGGAGATAGAACGCAGGCACCCATGATCAAAGACAGCTAATCTGTTCATGTCTTCCACTCTCAATGGTCAGGTCTCACAGCCAGCCATAAAGGAAGACGGAGGGGACTGATGAGCAGTACACCCACCCTTTGGTCGATAGCCAGTGGGATATCACGTCTACGCCAGAGACGGCGTAAACTGGCATATGCGAAACTAGCCCTCTATATCCGCGCTGAGATTTCGTCAGAGATCAACCCGTTGGGGCTGATGGTACTTCCCAAGTAAGTGAAGTGGTCAACGTGCTCTACCACTTCACTGTCTATTTCTAATCTGGGAGTCGGTGTGGTCCAGTCCTGTAACATCATCTTGCATTTGGGGGGAGCGAATCGCATGCCAAACATTCGTAGATTGCGGCCAAGGTGTTTAGAAGACTGCATTTTTTCAGCGTCCTCGCCTAGAAGGACTATATCGTCTGCATATTCTAAGTCGACGAGATTATTCCCTGGTAGCAAGTCAATCTCTGAGTAGCTTAAGTCACTTAGGGTTAAGTCCATTAGTACATCTATGATGAAGTGGAATAGAAAAGGGGATCAAAGGCATCCTTTACGGACACCACTAGTCGTCACCATTTCAGATGACAGCTCGCCGTAAGCCCTCAGCTGACTGTATGAGTACGAGTAGAGTGCCTTAATCAGTGCAATGTATTTTCTCGGCATTCCCTTTACAGCTAAGCATCTCCAGAGAACCTCTCGACCGACAGAATCGAAAGGTGCCTTTAGGTCAAGAAATATAATGACTGTTGGACGCCGGTAGGAATGCCTATGTTCTAGAATCTGTCGGAGGGTGAAGATATGATCAATACACCATCGTGTGTGTGCCTCCCGAGCACCACTAGTCTACTCAATATTATTGAGCCTAGGACTTTAGATACTATATTAGTCAAGCTAATCCCTCTGTGATTATCACAGGAAGACTTGTCTACCTTCTTGTATATGGGGATAATCAGTGACTTACACCAACCCGATGGGACTTCTTCTGATTCCCAGACGCTGCCTAGTACCTCAGTTAATGAAGACAGTAAACTGTCTCCACCGTACTTAAATACTTCTGGAGTCATTCCATCAGGTCCCGCTGCTTTGCCTTGCTTCAGATTGGTAACAGCTTTAGTAACCTCACTTAGGGATGGAGGACCTGTGTCTATATCCTATTCAGGGAGGTGTTGGATGTTCGGTAGGTTGAGCGTGGCTGTGGGCCAATTAAGCTGCTCCTCATAGTGCTCTTTCCAGCGTTCCAGTCGTCTATCCTGGGAGCTAATTATGGTGCCATTTTTCTCCGAGATTGTTTCGCTTATGATTTGCCTTCTCCCACCCGTTTACCTGATGAGTCTAAAGAGTTGCCTAGTGTTGCATATCACCGATGCTTTTTCCATCTCTTTCGCCTTTGTCACCCACCACTGTTCACAGTCCTTCAGAGACTTTTAGTAAGTTTCCTCTTGTGCAGCTTTCGCTCCTCATTGAATTCGGAGCTCGCCGGAATAAGTCTTCTAGCATCTATCAGTTCGGATGAGGCGGTGGAGATCCAGTGGTTTTTACTCACCTTTGGGTTTACCTTATTCACAGCTTTTACAGCTGTATCTATGGCTGCCTGGATATTCTTCCAAGCTTCTTCAGGGTGAGCACAGCTGTCGAACTCAGATATGTGTTTAGCTAGTTCTTCCTCAAATAGGGGTTTAGCTTCCTGATCGAGCTGGGGACGTGATGGGTTTACCGCCAGCTGTTTCCTACGTCCGTTCAGTCGTAAGCACACCCGAGCGCACACACACTGAAGCATCGTAAACCAGAAGCTTGGAGACTAGTTTGAATGGTGATGGCACTAGAGGTGACCCAAACTAGTGCATGCTACCCCAGTGTCATTATTAAATTAAAAATAATCCAACACGCACACAAACATTTAGACTGTTTCCAAAGGTTTAACTTACGATGGTGACTACAAGTAAAGGATCCTGCCGATCTAAACAATATTTATGGCAATATAACATCCAGCATAGTTCCATGAGTCAGTGAGATATGCAAACCTGACCACCTTATTATTGTAGCACCTATAGGTCGAGATGGTTAACTCAATCAAAGATTTAAGCTTTTACTTAGTCACAATAGTGGTTAAACTGTGAAATAGTTACGTTATTTGAATCGATAAAAGTAAACCATCTATGAGCCACATACTTATGGCAGGTAATACATAGAACAACGCAATTACTTACCTTTCTCGTTTGCCGATACGTATGCATACACAACTGTGATTTTTGCACATTCACAAATACTCGCAAGATATTCACATGGGTTATTCAGACTGTCCGTGTTATCCATCGGTGGAACTTTAACTTTATTACCCTTAGCGTTCCATAGACCACGAAGCGCTTTAGAAGAAATACGTACAGTTGCCTCGCTTTCCAATTTATTTTCTTTTACGTTGGATTGGTCTTGTTTTTCAAGCTGAAATTTGCTAAATTAAGAATATCTTCACTTACTAAAGAAAGGGTTTCTTCTTCCATGTATTCTAATGCTTCTTGTGGTATTGTTAAGTTGTTCTTGATAATATTATTCAAAAGTCCATAAGCAGCTCGTCGCTTAGCAGACTTTTTGGAATTTCCAAACCCTATAAAATATGCATATATAAAGCACCATATATTTACCTGTATGAGTCCACTTCCATAGTCTAACTTTGCAACTGTACTCATTACCTGATGGAAGACATGGTGCTACATCTAGGAATTCATATGATGGCGGAGGCCAGATGTTTTTCTGACACAGTTCTTGTAATCTTCCAACAAAGTTGCCTTCTTCTTGTTGTTTTATTTTACTTGGTATACCATCCAACTCCGCGTCATCAAGTGTGTCCATGAAATCAGACCCCAAAATATTCGCAGCAGCAATGTGTATGTCACGAAGATTACATTTTTCTGACTCTGTTAGAAGTCGACTATTCAACATTTTTAGCAAAATCAGGTACGACGCCTGATGTTTGGCTCGTTTTTTGCTAGCCCCTAATCAAGAAATTAAGGGGTTGAAAAGGAGTTGTATTACCTCTTGAAGTAGCGCTGAAGGGACCAGCTGTACACAGAAATACATAAAGTGGCTCATGGATTGGTCCTTCGCTTGAGACAAGTTCATAGATAGGAGTTATGCCTTTCTTCACACAAACTTCCTGCAAAATGCTGATCGGCGTACGATGTGTTGATATCGCAGACATTCAGATTGCAAATAGATTGAATCTGCAGTTCAACTGACCTGTGTGAATACAAGAAATTTAATTAATATGTATCACAATATGAACATATTCGAGTGCAACATGGGCATCAAGAATTGTGCGGGAAGGTCGATAAAGTATTACAGAAATGGTGTGAGCAATTGAAGAACTAGGGTCTAGTGACTTATGGAGAACGAAAAGCAGCCCTCTTAATGGCAAAAAGAAATTTTACCCTGTAAAACAGGATGTCCTACTGTCAGCTGTTTAGCATAAGCTTTACACAGAACACGGAGGAATGAAGACATGCGCAAGAATTTTATATAGATACGTCTCATGTTGTTAGAATCTTAACCGAATACCTGTTCGATGTCCCCCTTATTTGTTGGTTGTAATGAGTCGTTTGTACGCATTACGACTGTTAGATACTGTGAATCGTAGCGCTATACAGTGCTCATAAAGCACATGTAGCTCTTTACAGGTATTCCACAACAATATTGGTATAAATTTACAATATACACTGTATTAATGAAAAGCGTCATTACTGAGGATACAATGTATTGCATAACCAGTTACATCGTAAGTGATGTGGAATTTGATAAATATAACACAAGTCACTTAAGCTTACAACGCAAACTATAACGAACTATATATTGCTGAGTGTACACAATGGTATGTTTAAAAATAAATTCACCCTTTTGTTTTATATCCTAATTTCGTTAATTCTAGGAAACCTGCATAACTTTAAATTTACATGTTACAACGCTATATGATACTACGATGTTTTTATTAGTTCCGGAAGAAAGCAAACACAGATTGAACACTACTTAAAGGGGACCTAAAATGTTAAGGTTTAAGTAATGAAGTGCACACCACAAACTTTTTCCCAAAAGAGTTTCATAAAACAATAATTTATGCGTAAATATGTATGTACCATCAATTCTGGTAATCTTACAATGTCGATTAACAACACCAAGCCTCTGAACAGATTTGTAGTCCATAGTTAAAGTACTTGTTTATGTCAGAGAAGCAGACAGTATGTTTCCCATTATGCCAGTGTGACGCCTAATTCTCATGACCTCTGCATTTTCTCAAAGGTAACGAGTTCATTATTTCACAATGATTGCCGTCTCACGTTAGGTGGTGGTATAATAAGGTAAGTAATGTTGACTTTAGGCGTAGAGTGTTGGGCAAAGAGGGAAAATCAATCGACGAGGTTATAAAGTTACATAGACTAAGATGGCTAGGTCACGTGCTGCTCATGCCTAACCACCGCCTCCCCCGACGGGCATTGCTAGCTGATATAGGTTCAGGTTGGAAAAGAGCCAGTGGTGGCCAAACAAAAACATGGCATCAATCCATGAAATCCTTGACAGTTAAACTGAGTCAGGTAGGGAGATGCAGACTCCCGGGTTGGGGCCCTCGGGACTCTAGGAATCAATGGCTGGAGACAATAGGTGACATGGCTCAAAATCGTTGTCAATGGCCAGCGCAGATGTATTCAGTCTCTGTAATCTTTCATATTCCTTTCTACCATTACCCATTCTGTTTCACTCTTATACTTGTCAGACTGTATTGATTCTCTTCACTCATCTTGTCTACCTCTGTGTGCTATTTGGAAGGTGGCAACTCGAACTGCTGCACTTCGGTGCCAAGTTCTATGTTGAATCCAGACAGACAGACAAAGATTGCTTCTGCCTCAAAGCGTTTGCATTGCAGGCTAACTTTCGTTACGTGTCTCTGTAAGTAGCTTAAATACTTAAGCTATTCTGAAGAAAGGATTCCATAATTGTGACACAGTTTTTAAATCCTCTACCTACTCCCCAGTAAAATGGCCTTACGTTTCCTAACAAAACTGAAGACATATATGTGTACGAAATAATTACTTAGGTTATTATCACTTTTAATTTACACCACTTTCCACTCTAAGATGCATGTTACTAGAATTTAACTGTCACACTAAACATTAACACGTAAGACAAATCTAAGTATACGACCATAGTGGCCTTAAGTGGTTCAGAATTACAAATTATATACCCGTGTTGTTTAGTTTTATAATATGGTAAACACCGTCTGATTAGTCGTAAAACTCAAGGATAAATTAGGCTAGTACGACTGTTAAGAGTAACATAGGAATATCTAGATTACTCACACATTGTCGGCGAAAATATCAATTGAAGTAACTCAATTGCTTTGATGCAATCAATATGATTGAGACTCTACGAACAACTTCTTTGACTGAAGTCCAGATTCTAAAACACCTAGGTATATACAAATACAGCACATTGAATTTATGCACTACGCGTAATGTAAATGAAGAGAAGAATTAACTTTTGTATTTCTCTTTAGTTGCGACTTCCTACATAAACTGTCAGATGAATCATGAGTCTCACAAATATTTTGCCTACTACTTAACTAAGAAACCTGTACAACACTTATGCAGTTAACAACATAATTTAGACTGCCCGTTATGATGCCGATAAACTATGATCCTAAGATGGAATACTTCTGATGAAATAACTTACCCAGAGGATTAGTTTTGTGTTCCTAAAAGTTCTGCTAGCATTTGTAGGTGATCTTCGTGGAATTACCTTTTACACCCGAGAAAATGACATGATTTGGGTGAGAATACTTTGCTTTTCGGCAGACCTGTAAACATGTCATCATAAAAAATACGCGAATTAGAAATAATAACAATTTTACGGAAGAAGTGGAAAAATTTATCATCCTATCGTATATTTCTCCTTATAACTTCAACACTTGTATGACTATCAGTATATAGGCATAGACATGCTCCTAGTATTTGTAACGCCGACAGACCGCGTTCGTCTTTCACAATTGCTTACTGAGGAACGAACTTTACGTTCAATAAGTGTTTACCAATCTCTCACTGAATCTCGACGCATTCTGAGTGAGTTCTTATCTACGAACGTCTTAAAATCTAGTTACCTATAATTAAATCATACAAATAATAGAACTACTGGTGCTAAAAGCCCCAGTGTAACACTCCCAATTTGATGGAAACCCTTTTTCCTTAGACAACCTATGTATATATAGGTTTCTGACCAGCTAACCTGTGGAACAACTTTGATCACCTTAACCACTCAAGAAACAATTAAAAGCGTCCCTTATAGAAGGATCATGACTCACACCGCACATCCGTAGCTCCACGCAATTGATCCCATAAGTGTGTAACCACTCACTTAATGTCAAACGCCGCATTATGTGCAACAAGCGACTGTACAAGTCCGGGACGTATCAATATTTGTCTCCCAATAATATGAGATTTCCCAATAAAAAAGTTTTAACTCCATGCCAAAAATGACAACGCGGAATCAATAGACGCGTCTATTCACTCTCCACTTTGTCAGCCTGTTCCCACTCGCAAACTGATTGCAAGCAAACAGATATATCAGCCACAAATGCTACGCTTTTTGAATAAATCAAGAAAAACAGTTTGTCCCGGATAAAAAGGTATGGTCGTTTATTCCACCGGGTTCTCACCAGCTGCTTACAGAACTGGGACATAAAAATAATGTATCTCATCCTATGGTAATTACTCAACAGATTTCATAAAATAATATATTGTTGAATATCGCATAAAAAACTTTCTGTTAACCAAATAACCAACGCGACAACAAACCCAGAATTCTCACCAAGGTCAAATGCCAGAAGCCCGCCACACCTTCAAAATCTGTTGGACTGTCAATATCGTCAAAAGAAAAGAGATAATAATAATAGCAGACATAATTAGTGTAGGCTGTTCAAAGTAGGAGGCGGAAAAATAAATAAAACGTAAAAGCAGACAGCTAATTAAATTTGGAGTTGATATGTATACATACATATATATGCATGTAATATCAGTGATAATAATAATTGTAAGTGTAGTAGTTGGAGTAGTCAGGAAAGTGAGACGGGAGAGAATTTTACAAAATAAAACGACGAATTTAGATGTCTACCCATTGATGTTGTATGGGATTTTTAGGGTATAGGCCATTTTGAAACAATTTTTGTGTCGCTGCATGATTGTCTAGCCTTTGCCTAAAGCTCTCCACAGACGGTTGTGTAGGACAAGCCCTAGTTACATGGGGCGTAACTTGCATTCTGCAGCCTACAAATGCGTAAATTCACTACTTTGCGTTTTACCACATTGGAAGTCATAACACTGTCGACCATCCAGTCTTCCAGAAGCTCTAGACCTGCCTGCAGCCTATCTGAGCTTTCTAACACTTTATTTCTTTTCATATCACTACGTCGTCAGAGTATAGAAGAGTTGGGAAGCTTAGACCTCATGGTAGGTCATCGATAGAGATCAAAAACACCAGTGACCCCAGGATATAGCTCTGCAACACTCCTGATTACGAGCCGAAGCAAGATGATCAGACTCGGATCATCTTAGTGCACAATTTCCCTTCAGCTATGTAGTCCTTCAACCGTGACAGAAGCGGCTTACCTATACCTGGCTGATTTATGTTGTGTTGAGGGTTATGGTGAACTGTGCCAAATGCCTTCTCAAAGTCTAGGAGGACCATTCGGACTAGAATATTCACATCCCACCATGGAGCCCAATCGTCTCTTGCTGATAGTAGGCTTGTTACATGGGATCTGCCTTTCCTGAAGCTATGCTGTGCTTCATTGAGCTTATTAGTCCTATCGAGGTGCTCCCTGGAGTGATCATCATAATACTTTCCAGCACTTTTGATACCACTGGGAATATGGTTACTGGTCTATAACTGGTGTCATTTTGCCTATCCCCAGCCTTGGGGATTGGATAAGGGGTGGCTTTCCTCTACTCCCTTGGCAGCTTCTCCGAATCCATGGAGTGTTGGAACAAGTAGCACAAGGGCATACAGAGAGCTTCGGTGCACCGTTTCAGAACAAATGGCTTAATGTCGTCACAACCAGGGGGACTTCCCAGATGTGAGTCTCTTCAGCTTCCCTTGTACTACTTCTCAGTTTATTTGGAGAGTAGCCACTAGGTTTTCCTGTGGTGAAATACTAGTGCCTCCATTTTGTTCTGTACCAGTAACACTCACACTGCTGTTTTATTGAAGGTTTCAGCCACCTCTAGACTAGTGAGTCATTGGCCGTTTGGATTCTGAAAGTTTCCTTTAATGTGTCGTTGAACATCGCATATAATATTTCCAGCAACAACGCAATAAATATTGAAAAACTTCAAGTTTTTCACAATCACAGGGCCAAATTTCATAGGTTCCACCAAATTTTCAAAATTTTCAAACTCTCGACAGACTTGATCCAATATTATTACTGTTATTCACTTCACGTAAACACAACACACCCTTGAATAAAGTATCCTGAACAATATATGAAAGGCATACCGCATTCTGACTAGGGCGAAATGACATCGATTTCTTATGCACATTCAAAAGGGCCACACAACACTCGATTTTTTGGTAAACTAATGTCTATTCAAGCAATTATCAGGCAAAAAGCAGTCAATCCTCATCAAAATGTTACACCAAGTTGACGTTAAAACATGCTATATAGCGTCAGGCCGCGTATTTGGAGGATAACACAATAAATGGCATTGGTGAGTGTGACTGGCCGATGTTTTTATAGGTGTCACGAAGTTCCTCGTTACAATTTCGTGGCCCGGCAGTTGTATCAAATTTCGGGGTGCGAAAGCCAATGATGGAGAAAGTTTGCGTTATCAAGGTAACATTTTAATTGGATAACGCACATTATTTACGCTACGTGCGAAATCTTTAAATATGGCAATTACAATAACATGCATGAACGCGCATATAATAATAATATATTTTTCGTACAAAAAAGTAAGTTCATATGAAATGCATGCCATTTTTACAGGCACGATCAATTATGTTACGAATTACAATTGTGAATTAGCATACATTATCACATTTTAGAAAGTTCAAATTGTTGAATTTTGGTACAAGCAATGGTAACAGATTTTTATAATTGTTAATTTGTAAATCTTTCACGAAGGTCTCCATCGAAGTTGAGCGACAACCCAAACTTCGTCCCATTTCCTGGTGATATTAAAGGTTCATCGATAAACTACATATTTTTGAGAGTGCTATGACCCTACGGGCTTGAATGCCATTCCAGGAAGAAGAGAAAATCCTGCGCAGCTGCAAAGTTGTGCAAAATGCAATCATGAATAATAGATCATTGGAAGTATATTTACAAGAAAAATACAAAAATAAGCTATACATTACTTGAAATGATAGCACACATTTGCAGCAGATGATGCTGAACATATTGGTCTCACCATGGGAAACTATGACGTATTCTATGGAAATATAATTATTCTCAGACATGAGTGTTATTGTTATGTTTTTTCATCATCAGAGCAACCGAACTTTATGCGACAGAAGAGTGTGAGTAAGAATAAAAAGTAAATTTGAAGTTGAAGCTGAGATAAAACAGAGTATAAGAGTTATTAGATAGAAGGATTATCGTGGAGTATATGAGTGGCGTTTCAGGGAGAAGTGGCTTGAAGGATCAGAACCTGTTGTATATGGTGACCTGTAGGATGTCTGGTGAACTTGTGTATGGCCCATGGGGTAGCATCTTGACAAGAAACTGAGAGGACTTGTAGATGTTAAGAGCGAAAGCATTATTTTTTATAAGTTAAATCTGTGCAGTCATTATTGTATTACCTTTTTCTAATTTTTTATATTGAGGATCTAAGCTCATATTTAATTCCCGAGCTGCCAAAATAATGCATGTTGCTGTCCTATAGATCGCAGCGATTCACATTTGTGACCACTACCAAATCTGCTGATCAGCATGCATTTTTCAGGGTTTATTTGACATAAGAAACTAAGGTAGTTCTGACAAATGAGAAAAACTTCGATTTGGGAACATTTTTATTTTTGTATCTGAGATTATTTACGCTTGTGCTCGTGAAAAAATTCAGCTATTACTGCAAGACATAGGAAATAAGTTATATCGCACCCACAGTCACGAGTTCGCTCCTCATACAATAGACGCTGCTGTTCTGAGACATACAGTTAGATGTCTTTATGAAGTAGCGAACTCATACTATGCACCTGCACTCAGAATTTATATTTAAGTGCTACATTTCAGATCGTCTTTATCTTTTTTGTAGATTGAGATTGCACTTATACTGGTAAGCTCCAGGAAGTGCCCAAATTATCACCACTAGCATCCACTGGTACAAACGGGCAACCCCAGGCTGCTTCTTAATAGACGTCAGCTATGAATTATTATGAGTTCTGGCTTGGAAACTATAACGCATTATGGTTACCTTGAAAAGTCTTTTAAGAGTCTGCTTAGCAGGGTTTTTAAATGCTTTCATGGTGAAATGTTCAAAATATTTCACTTTACGCATGTAGGAAGATGAGGCTTAAAGTGATGAGCAGAAACACTGGAGTATGTGACGGACAGAAATTGTCTTTTTTATAATAATAATAATGTATATTCTCATATAAACATATAAATTTACATGAAAACGCATGCCATTTTTACAGGCACGATCAAGTATGATATAATATCAAATCGTAGATTGTCTACAAATTAATAATGTTTCAACAGTTAAATATTCGATACATATATATAATTACACTCATTGTCTGAACCAGGCTGTATAGTTATTGAATTGTACAGTTGTCCTCCAGGTTGAGCGGGAAAATTGACTTCGTTTTGTTTTCTTCCCGTGGTTGTCGGCATACGATAACCAACCAATATTGAGGTAAGTACGACGTTTACAAAGATTGAAAGCTGTTTTAGAAAAGTAAAAGTGCTAAGGTGAATCAATCAAGTGTAATGAAATGGGTAAGTGCAAGTATCACTAATAAATGCATTAATAAAGGAAACTCCCTAGGCTGACAACGTTCATTTGCAATGTATAATGCTTCCTGTACAGTTTGCACTGTCATGATGTCCACTTTTGGTTTTAGTACATTTTTTCCTTATGCCGGTTTTTTATATTTTATGTCTTTTTGTGCATTTGGTGCACAACCGTACCCTACAGAGAATAGGAGTAGAATAAGTCGAATCAAATTCATAAAGAGCTATAAAATGTTAGGTTTAATGGGATATAATGGGGATCAAGTTAAAACGTTATTAGAAAATAAATGAAATAAGACATTGTGAAGTGGTATTTAAAGATCCGACAATGGACAGCAAGTTAGTTTATAAGATGCCACATAAATCTGTGCAGAGCCCATATGGTCGCATCTCAACAATAGGCTGAGTGAATGGTGTATATTTAAAGGCAGAAGCATGATCAGTCTAGGCGTTCATTATTATCTTTTTCAAGATAAAGATCTAAGCCCAAATAAAAATCAGAAATATCTCGAGCTGTCAATCACGTCTCATAAACCGTCAATGCCCAGCTCTTGCTACGCTCGGGCCCACGCTGTTCCTTGCAGTTTTTCAGAAACGCTTAATAGTAACGGACGCGAAAACCAAAACACCGATTGGCCGCTTGGGAATTCTTTATTGTAACACCAACATATAAAAAATATTTCTATTAAGGTCTGTGAACAAATATTACAATAATAAATCATAAGATTACTTCTGATGGTTGTCTCCTGACTTCTTTCTGAACAGCGACCGATGAGACGATGACTGTCGTATTGATGCCTCCGCGAAAATTGGGGAAGTTGATTTTGAGCAAACAACCATGAATTGATCGTTCAATCTTCAACTCCATTGACACTCCCCGGCAAA